CCACGATGGAAAAGTTCTGGATTACTGCACCCGAAACAGAAGTGGTTCTGATACTGATCCAGAGATGGAAGAAATCAGAGAATGGTCCAACACAACTCTGTACGCTAACTCCTATGCGCGGAGTTGGCCCCTCGCCTCTACGGGAGCATCATTGGTTGGACGCATCCCTTTGCCGTATTCTCATCAGACTCATCGTGCGGAAAGCGAGAGCAAGTCAATAAAACTCAAAAGGGATGGCATAAAGCTCGCTCATGCGATCGGTACACAATGTTGTTTGTTCTAAGCAATTTTCCTTATATGGGCTAATTACCACAATTGCGCTCATTTTCGGACGCAATAAATCACACTTTTTCAATCGTGGATAGCGCCTTTGACAGAAGTACTTCTATGCCACAAAATGTGCTTTACTTACATCGATTTCGTCCTTGTGTGCGATATAGATATGCTCCTCCGTAATAATCGCCACAAAGTTATGTGTGACACAAGCGTCTAAAATCGGGCAACCGACATTGACATTCACGATTTTTTCGAGAACTGGAAATCTAAATCGAGAGCAAGTTCTTGTACACGAGCACTTCATCAAACGTTGATCGCAGCCTCCACAATGCCTAAATAGTAACGAATACTACTGCTTCGTTTAATGCGTGAAAAAATGATAAATCCACTCCAGTCCTTCAAAGCAAAACGTTGAGATCAGTCTTGTATTGTGGAAACGCTTGAGTACCCATCACCTGCGCAGCAACTTATGGAGGTCGATAGGGCCAATCTACTGCTTATACCCTCCCCTCGGACAAAGCGAGCCAAGTGCGCGGCTGCAGCAATATTGCAACCTACAAAGTGACGACGGCTCTCACCAAAATGTTTGATGGTTTCTGCCAATTAAATGATTATGGCTTTTGCATTTGTATTTCGAAATACAAATGCAAAAGCCATAATCATTTAATTGGCAGAAACCATCAAACATTTTGGTGAGAGCCGTCGTCACTTTGTAGGTTGCAATATTGCTGCAGCCGCGCACTTGGCTCGCTTTGTCCGAGGGGAGGGTATAAGCAGTAGATTGGCCCTATCGACCTCCATAAGTTGCTGCGCAGGTGATGGGTACTCAAGCGTTTCCACAATACAAGACTGATCTCAACGTTTTGCTTTGAAGGACTGGAGTGGATTTATCATTTTTTCACGCATTAACAGCAATAGTATTCGTTACTATTTAGGCATTGTGGAGGCTGCGATCAACGTTTGATGAAGTGCTCGTGTACAAGAACTTGCTCTCGATTAGATTTCCAGTTCTCGAAAAAGTCGTGAATGTCGACGTCGGTTGCCCGATTTTAGACGCTTGTGTCACACATAACTTTGTGGCGATTATTACGGAGGAGCATATCTATATCGCACACAAGGACGAAATCGATGTAAGTAAAGCACATTTTGTGGCATAGAAGTACTTCTGTCAAAGGCGCTATCCACGATTGAAAAAGTGTGATTTATTGCGTCCGAAAATGAGCGCAATTGTGGTAATTAGCCCATATAAGGAAAATTGCTTAGAACAAACAACATTGTGTACCGATCGCATGAGCGAGCTTTATGCCATCCCTTTTGAGTTTTATTGGCTTGCTCTCGCTTTCCGCACGATGAAGTCTGATAGAATACGGCAAAGGGATGCGTCCAACCAATGATGCTCCCGTAGAGGCGAGGGGCCAACTCCGCGCATAGGAGTTAGCGTACAGAGTTGTGTTGGACCATTCTCTGATTTCTTCCATCTCTGGATCAGTATCAGAACCACTTCTGTTTCGGGTGCAGTAATCCAGAACTTTTCCATCGTGGCATGTACCTCTGAGGACATTCAGACATTAGCTTTCTTGATGTACTTTTAATTCTGATGTTTCATTTGTTTAGGTTCCTCAGCGCTGTAAATGCACGAGAGGTGCCCCACCGAGTCTGGAGTTTGAGCCGACGCAGTGGATTTCAGTGACGTCGGAGTCTCGCCCAACAGTTATCAGTGATCGTTGGTGGGCAAGGAAGAAATCGCCTTCGGATATGATTCTGACATCGACAGTGTCTACAGTGTACCTGGTGTATACGGTGGATGGTGTGAGTACGGTAGTTAGGTTAGTGCTTCGAATTGGTTGTTTTCGAGCGCATAGAAGAAAGAAGAAAGTAACTTTCAGCTCATTCGTAAAAGTGATTTTGCTCGAATATACAGGGGAAGAAGGGAGCAAAAAGTTACTTTGCCCATGGCACATACACCAAACTTTTCGTCGCGCGTGATGCCGCCGTTGATGGGAGTATCACGACAGAAAATTCCTTAGATGCCCCTCCACCACCCCCTCCCCGATATGCAGAAGCAGGCCCTCTTCACCGCCCTCACTGTCTTCAGGTTCATTTACCATCACAGTCGAGCTCGAGGAGGCCTACTGTTATAAGTTCCATTATAAATTCTTTAATCGGTTGACTGGTGGATAGCATCTTAGAGACACTAGCTCTGATGCAAGACCGCTTTTGACCAGCGTTTCAGATAAGGTCGTAATGGTCTATGGTCCTCGACGACCTCGTTGAGCTCGTACCGTGAACCATGTTTCCGTGGGAAAATCTTCTGATGTCGTCGGTGTAGAAGGCACTATGAAGTTTTTGATAGAACGGAATGTGCTTTTCAATATGCAGTCGGGTGCATTTGGTTTGAATTCAGCAAGGTAATGTGTGGCGGGATAGTGACTTTTTGCGTTCCCCTTGCACATTGTTTCGTATATGAGAAGGAGGGGGGCTAAACAAGAGCTTGCTGGCTCTAGGCCATGAAACTGCATAGTGCTGCACGGTATGTGGCGTCAGTTAACACCACGTTACCTCTGCTATTCTTCATCAGGAATAAAAAGAACGTCATGTCGAGATATCAAGATCACTATGCATGCTCCTCCGCGGCTCTCAGTGAACAGCGGTGTGATAGATGAATTCTAGTACTTTCAAGCTTTTCGCTTTTTTAGCTCTTTTCAATGTTAAACTTGTAATGAGAAACTGAAAAATAATAAAGGATAAGGATAAAGCATTTGCCGTTGATCAATCCCTTTTTGCGGCACGCATTCTACTTCCATTTGTACATTCGTAGTGGCGTTTGAATGCGATGTGGCCTATACAATGACTTGCGGGGGCCAGCCGATGTACAAGTCAGTGTTTTTATCCTCCCAGACAAGTCTGGTACCAATTAACCGACCCCGGAGGGATGGAAGGCTTGGTTGGCCCGGGCGACTCACGACCCAGGATTTGATCCCCGGACCGCTCGCGTGGTAAGCGTGCCACTTGCCACTACACCACTTCCGCCCTGAAAAATTAATGGTTCTCCTAAAATACCTTCTTTATAATCGTTGTACTTGATGTTTTTACCTTCTTACAGGATGTTCAACGAAAACAGTTACCTGGAAAGTGATGCAATCAAATCGTGTGTGGTTCAAATCCCTGAAGACGTGCGAATCGTTGCGGTAAAAGATCTTTGAGTGTTTTTTTAATGGAAGGATCAAAACGGCTGGCAAATTTCAGGCTGCTTCGGGGAATGATCATAGCCTTTTCTTGACAGACAGGGGATCTGTTTACGCCCTAGGAACCGGCAGGTTTGTTTCACAAAAAATGTGATTTTTTAGAGCCATCAGCATCTACTACAATAGAGTTTTCTTTACAGTCGTGGTGAGCTGGGAAACGGTCTGATCCCGCGCGTTTGTGAATTGACTTGGTTGGAAGCGCTTGAGGGCTTGAAAGTGGTGGATATTGTGGCAGCCGGGTGGCACAGCGGTGCACTGACTAGTATGTTCCTTACTATCTTTCCTTAGCTACTTGTGCTATCGCGAAATGAGCACTCGAAAGTTGAAAGAATGTCGTGGGTTTATGAGAGCAAACAATTTATAGGAAATTCCCTGTTAGTTTCGCGTACTGTTGGCGGCTGGAGGTGATCTAATGACAAGTAAGCGCTTCATTCCACGCGCGTGGTTCGGAGTTCGATTGTCAGATTGATTCCCGCCTAGGCCAACGAAGGCTTCCTCCTCTCCGAGGTTAGCCAGTTGGTGCACTGACTTATAATAGGCTGACCCCCGCAGGTCATTGTATAGGCCATAACAAGCTCAACTGCTACTATGATTCTGGACGGAAGTACAGTTCGTGGCGCATTTCAAAAGGGATCGATGAACGTGGAAAGATTAATCCTTTATCCTTCATGTAAAGTTGGTGCGCGCGTTCGTGTGGTGGTAATTTACCTCTAAACTTTTTTATGCCTTTGATTAAGCCGCAGAATTCTCAAGTAAATAGTGATTTCCAGATGATGGCGACGTTTATCTGTGGGGTTGGAATCATCGTGGACAACTTGGAGATGAAAAGGTTTGAAAATCTTGTGAATTAAGGAACGAATTATATCGTCCCGTAGTGGGAGCCAGGTTTCAAAGCACATTCCGCTATTGCTTGTCTGTGAGTTGATGCTTCAAAAATGAAAGTTGATATGGTAATCGGTCGGCCAGCAATAAAACGAACAGTTAAATTTTCTAAGAACCTAAAAGCACATCGCGCGCCGGTCGTATGGACACCATACACCTTTTAGTCGGTTTTTACTCTTGGTACGATGAAGACGAGGTGCCGACCAAAACCAGTGATGATCACCATTTACCTTATTTATTTATTTACTTACCTAGTTGGCGCCGCACGCATTGCGCGCACGGCGATATATATAGGATGGTGCGGCGTGAATTTTCGAATTTGGCCCAATACACTTCGAATATTTGACTTTCAAGCTGAATTCTATCCGATTGCCCCATGCTTCATCCACCGATGGCTTTTGACCTTCCCTCCTTCCTCCACCAATTGTCCGTAATCGTCAACCAATTGTCCGTTTATCCCGGCCTCGGACTGCCTCCGGACCGATTTATGAACCTCGTGGTAAACTCCGCCTATTTCTTTGCATGTCTCACCTATCTCCCAGTCTTTGAACTATCCTGAGCCGATTTATAATTTTGGCGGCGAATCCTGCTCTTTTGGTGTATCCTCCGCACACCATTAGAAATTCACTTCCTCCTTCGCCCACTTCTCTCCCGGTCTCCAGGACTTCTTGCAGCCGAGTCACAAAGTTTTGTGGAGAACTCCGCCCACCTTGGAAATGCCCCGCCCACCAACAACAGTTGGGCTCCACTCCTTCACCCACCTCTATCCACCTTTTTCCCGGTCTCCGGGACTTCTTGGAACCGAGTTATGAATTTCGTCGCAAACTCCGCCCACTTTGGTGTACGCCCTACCCACCAATAGCAGCTGTCCTCCCGTGCGTTGTCGGACTCGACCCACTCTTTTCCCGGTCTCCTGGACTTCTCGGAACTAAATTATAAGTTTAGGGCAAACTCCGCCCACGTTGGTGCACGCCCTACCCACCAATAGCAGTTGACCTCCCTTCCGTTGACGAACTCAATTCACTTTTTCCCGGTCTCCAGGACTTCTTGGAACCGAGTTATGAATTTTCGTCGCAAACTCCGCCCACTTTGGTCATGCCCCGCCCACCAATGACAGTTGGCCTCCACTCCTCCACCCACCTCTATCCACCTTTTTCCCGGCCTCCGGGACTTCTTGGAACCGAGTTATGAATTTTCGTGGAAACTCCGCCCATTTTGGACACGCTCCGCCCACCGGTGACGCTTAACCTCCACTCCTCCACCTACCTCTATCCACCTTTTTCCGGCTCACTAAGACTTCTCCGGCCCGAATTATGAGGACTTGTAGAAAATGCTGTACACTTCAGAGCGCGCCCCGCCCATTCTGGGCGGGCCTCCGCCCACGTCATGTATGCTGGGAAACACCTTAGACATTGCTCCCTTACACCAATTGTTTTCTGCTCTGTAGGCTTTCTCCCAACCGAGTTATGAAATTTTTCATAAAGCACTGCTTTTTTGGAGAACGCCCCGCCCACCGGGGGTGGGTCTCCCTAATTCGATGTGACTTACCAATGCACACCTTTACCCACTTTTTGGCCCAGTTTCGAGGTTGTTTTGTCACTGAAATTGAAATCTTGGTCTTCAGTACAGTTCATTTCGACGCACGCCACGCCCTCTGTGGGCGGGGCTGATGTGTGTTTTGTATTTCGTGAGACCTTGCCCACCCATCCCACACTTGACCCGGTCCCTCCAGGCGGATCCCGAGGAGCTAGGGAATTTCGTGACAGACATACAGACGACGCGCTTTATATTAAGTAGGATCCATGTTTCACAAGTCCATTGGACGCGCTTATTAGGTGTACGAGCATAACTCAAATGGGAATGTAAGTAGTGCGCTTCAGAAGTAGAAAGGCAGCCCTAAAAGGGCTGTTCCGAGTTCAGATAAAGGATTCTGCTTTTTTTTTCTACCCACTTGATCAAATTCAGCTGCTCTGAAACTGTAGTCCACCCGTCTCGGGAAGCAATATCAGCTGTACAGCTACAAACATTTTTATAAGAAAATGCTAAAATGTTAAAATGCTCCTTGTAAAGGTAAAAGCACCCTGGATAAATCTGATCTTCTTCATTGTTGGCCGCAATAACCACCAATAATCCAATAGATAGACAAGTGCGGAGTGCATTTACAAAAATTATATACTTCAGTTTCAGAAAATCCGTTATTGTACATGAATTCGTCTTGATTATTGACATGTTAGCAATGTTTGATATAATTTTAGGAGCGAGTCGAATATTATCCATCACCATTGGAAGTTGACATTCGGATAGTGAGAATTGAAATGAGGGATCACTTGACTGCATTGTGGACTGCCGAAGGTATGTCTTAAGCTCCTAAGTGTTTGATCAAATGCTTTTCACAGTCTGGGCTTTTCTCTCACCGTAAACACACATACGCGATGTGGCACACGTTCCCTTCGAGTGAGAGTTGTGTGGACATTTTAACGTGTATTTCACTTATTACGAATAGTGGGGTGTCAGCGTCGGATCATTCATAATTTGTCCTTCTACTCGGATGTGGCACTGGCAATATGGCTTGATTCTAAGGGAGGAGGGGGAATCTGGCGTTTAAACCATAAGAACTATTCGGTAGGTGCGCGAACTACCACTGTATGTACTCATTTTCTATCGTATTTGTCAAATTCTACAGATACCGTCGTGATCATAGAAATCCAGAGCGTCTGCTAATCGTGTGAGCGGTACCAGCGCGATTACACTCTGTTTCATGCAGCCAGAAACCCACGTGGCACACGTGGCTAAATTCTCGATGAAAAGGTGACACGTGTGCTCAAAGATGTTCTTGAATCGATGCCACGTTAATGCCACGTCAATTTCTGCAATTGCACAATTTCTGGTCATTTGAAGGCGAGGGTACTTGCATCATTTTTAAGCCGGTGACAGACTTTGCGAATATGTGGATTCGCTAGCAAATTGCGGGGTACGAGCGATTCACCAGCGGTTTTATGCTGTATCAACACTTCGAACGATGTACCAGCGACTCGACACTGTTTGAAAGTTTCCGAAGTCCCTCTCGTTCGCACGTTGACTTTCGCCACTTTCTCGGGCTCAGGAGACCATGAGTGCACGGGAATGTGGCGAGAGATAACGTGCGAAGGATAGACTCCACCACTTTCCAGTCGATGGTACATCGTTCGAACCGCTGCTAGTTCGAACAACTTGTGAATTGCAAAATCGCAAAATAACCGCCAAGGGCGGCGTTCTGATATGGAAAGCTAGCGAATTTCACTAATAGACAGTGATCATCGTCGCTGGAGTGGGGCGGTTTTGATGAGATCAGTAGACGTATTTGGTGATCACAGCAACTGGAGAGGTAGTAGGGATCATCACCTTATGCTCTTCCACCAGTGACGCTCAATGACGTCATCGGGAGCACTCTGCTTACCGCTATCGTGTTCGCTCTTTTAAGCCCGTGATTAGCCCGCGAAACACCTGGTGCGGTTAAGCACACTTACAAACCATTACAAGGGGGGGGGGCAAAAAAAGGGTCACATTCAAAACAGAATTAATTACACTTTGCCAAAACCAAACCGAATGAGCTCAATTGCATATTGAAGAGCACATTCTATTCTATCAAAAAAATGGCTTTCTACACCGACGACATCAGAAGATTTTCCCACGGAAACATGGTTCGCGGTACGAGCTCAACGAGGTCGTCGAGAAACCATAGACGATTACGACGTCTCTGAAACGCTGGTCAAAAGCCATTTGCATAGTCAGAGCTAGTGTCCCTAAGAAGCCATTCACCAGTTATCCGATTGAAGAATTATGTAGCAGCTTCAGAATGGAGCGATTGGTAGGCCTCCTTGAGCTCGACGGTGATGACAGATGACGTCATATTCTGGAGACGGTGAAGGCAGCGAAGGTGGGCCTGATTCTGCTTATGGGGGACATCTAAGGAATAATTCGCCGTATAACTCCCAATAACAGCGGCATCCTTTGCGACGAAAAGTTTGATGATATGCGCCATGGGCAAAGTGACTCTTTTTTTGGCCCCCCCCCCCCTGTATATCTAAACACAAGTCCCTATAGGTATTTTGCAAACTACTTATAGTAGCGATGCTGTTGCGTTTTGATTAGGTATCTCGATTGGGCAAAATATCTTTAAAAAATTATTGATTCATTCAGATGGTGATGAGCCGTCAATTGTGTTCGGCTCGAGTGATATCGGGATGCCAACGATCCGACTGCGCTACTACGACCAAACGCCCGATAGTAACCCGACAGAAGATCGAAGTGTGGAAATGGTGTTTTTGAAGAGCGAGCCGAAGACGACTGGCCATCGCTCTGAACAAGTGCGAGAAATCACAGCTCTTCAGAATATACCGGGTTCCAGGGTTCATTCGAGTATCCAGTGAGAGAGCGCGATTGATCTCTGTGTGTGAAGGATTTGAAATTTTCCTTCGTTTTGTTACTTTCATGGCTGCAATCACCCACCCGGAGGTGACCATCATGAAACCAGAATTTTTTGAAATTCGGGGAATGATGTGAAATATCGAGGAATTAGCAAGAGTCAGGCTGAAGTTCTGACATTCAGTAGTGTTCTGGTGCTCATAAACAGGAGTTATGGTGAAAATGTTGCGGTTAACGTAGTGCGTGCTTGCTTTCATTTATTCCTGGTATACACTCGGTTTCCTTGGACGAGACATGTCGTAACTGCGTACTGAATAACGCGTGGCAACATCATTAGCGTCAAACGGCGGTATCAAACGGCGTCAGATGACGTAGAAGCATCGATAGCGCTTGATATCGATTTTTTGAGGTCAACATAACGAGAATAAGTGGTTCTGCGTTTACTACATGTCTCGCCGCAAGAAAGAGGGTTTATCTCATTTAAACCGAAAGGAGAAGTCTGAGCATCTAGTAAGCCTAATTGTAGGTGTTGGGGATTGAGTAATGGCGATCGGAGGTTGCTGTTTGTTAGCTCTTCTGTAGGTTGTCTCTGATACGAGATCAGGGTAACAACACATCCGCACATTGCCAGCTCTCCAGCCAACAGTCCATTCTTCTCCATCGAGGCCTTGAAGGATCGCTCAGCGACCACTTAGGTGTGGTTGTTGCGCTCGAAAGAATGCTAATTCATCAGTTAAGAAAAAGGAGAAAATTGGTAGAAGCACTCAGTCGAAGCATCGTTCTTCTATGTGGTGGCTGGGTCTACGAG